CGACAAAAAGAAGAGAATTATCCGCGGGTCAGTCAGTGTTATTTTGATGCGCTGATTCCGAATGTGATACCATTTTTAACGATTTAACTCATACCTCAGCTGAGTGCGAGGACCTAGAGAGTGAGTACGTACAACCAGGCCTGCTGACCACAGGCCTTGACCATCGCGCTCAGAAATCGGACGTCATTGTCTCTCACAACGCCAGCGTCAAAGGCCGTCGGTCTCTGGCCCCACAGGATAGCCATCCCTACGTGGATATGTCGGACTTTGCCAAATCTCCGTTGCCAGGTAAGGAAGCTTTGAGAGAGGATTAACCTGATCCCCTACCCCTCCCTCCACTGTGCCCCCAACCCCCTCCACCCAATTCCCCAACCCCAGTGGCGATTGTGTTCCCGTTTTGTTTTGTTTTTTGTTGTTGTCTTCAGTGGACCTGGACTCGCCCTCCGAAATTTTCGGTTATAGAAAAGGCTGTATCCGTACTTTGGGGTTCAAGGCAAAAGGAAGAGTGAACTACATGGATACAGATTGCGTATGGCTGTTTTGAGTTACTAAGACCTTGAGGTCAGAAATCAAAATGTTCTATCTGCTGTATCAAAAACGTAAGATTGTTCGGAGTCCTTATCAAGATATTCAAAGAATTGCATTTGAAAAAGCTTGACATGATTTGAAACTCAAAACCTTTGATGTCTCAAAACTTGGTAGGCTATTGAGCTGATAAAACTTTGTAATTCTGAAGTAGCGAAATTTAACAGCACGGAACAAGCAGAGAAACGCCAGCGCATGCACCATTGTCCAAATTATTGCAAAGTTAAGTTGTAAACTGAATTCTTTATTTGACATAATCCTCTTGAGTATGACACTGCCATTGTCCCATAACAGGCTCGCTTTATAAAAAAAATAGAGTCTCAAAACTTCCTATTTAAGCTCGTAATGTTTACACCGCAAGTTTGATGCAATTCACGAACTGGTTCTCATTACACTTCAAACAATGAATAAGTCGTAAGACAAAAACAAAAAAACCCAAAAAAGCAGACAATGTTTTTCTAAATATCCGTTCCCGTGTTTCTGGCAACCAACAAATTCTGTGACCTGTGGGCAGACACTTAGTTGGGTAAGTTAGGCAGTAGGAAACGACTTCCTTGTTTACTGTTACATCTATTTTCGTGCGTGTCATTTGACTTGGCGTTATTATTTGGAAAGCTAAGGGGGTTTCCCCCGTTCAGAACGCACTCTTACGTCAGCCACCATGCATTCATTTCTAAACCTTTTCCTTCTATTGCGCTCTTTAAAACCAGTAGGCACACAAACAGTCTCGTGCTTGAGCCATTGCTTTGAAATGGTTATGTTTTTATGTCGTTTGTTCACGCAATCCCCACAGAATGCAGTGTCCTGTGCTTTCATTGCTCAAAAGAAACTGAACACATGCATTCAACGCTTGGCTGCTCGTACGTAATATTGCTGCAGCAAAGAGGTTCTATTTGAGCAGCTATACACACACACACATTCACACACACACACACACACACACACACACACACACACACACACACACACACAGAGAGAGAGAGAGAGAGAGAGAGAGAGAGAGAGAGAGAGACTTACATCGTACTGTAAATATTTGAATGATTACCCTTTTTGTCTGGGTTTTGTAAAAAAAAGGTTTATCGACATTGAATCCTATCTTGTTGCACATCCAGAATGCTACACAAAGAGATTGGTATAATGCATAAGTGTGGGTTTCAAAAGCCTGTCTTCAATTTCATGAAATGTTTAAGGGGAATTTTGAAGAGCTTTTTATGTCGTAGCAGTGAGACAGTGTCAATAAATAACATTTAATTCAGATGTATGTTTATGCCACTCTCCCACTACGATTTAGTCCTTTCAAATGCTCCCTTTATTTTGCCCATATTCGTCACCCAACGCCCATAATCCTTTCGTTTATTCCTTCAAGAAGTATACCACTCTACAAAATCTACAAAATCTACTAAATTTCTTCTAAATTGCCACGCATTCAGTCGTCTCTTTTCATCATAACATGCATTCTCATTAATACCCTTCCCCCTCCTTCTAATCTCACGCACCCTAGCACTGGACTTACTCACTCACTCATCAAATCACTCTTTCTCGTTTACATTCTCTCACTCACTGGATACCTCGCTTAATCCCTCACTCACTCTCACATTCACTTATTCAATCATTCATTCACTTATCACAAGATGTTCTTCTCCCTCACTCACTCACCAACCCACCTAATCACTCACTCTCGTGTCCATTCATTACTCTCTCACTCACTTACTCAATATTCCTCCCCATCCCCGTCCCTCCCTATGTACTCATAATTCACCCACGCATTTATTCACTGAATCACGCGTTCTTTTACTCTCTCGCTCGCTCACCCACTCAATACTCCTACCCAACCTCCATGTTTATTCACTCAATCGCCTACCCCTTCACTCTCTCACACACTCACTCACTCTCTCACCCACTCACTCACTCACTCACTCACTCTCTCACACACTCACTCACTCACTCACTCACTCACTCACTCACTCTCCCACTCACTCACTCATTCACTCACTCACTCACTCACTCACTCACTCACTCACTCACTCACCCTCTCACTCACCCTCCCACTCACTCACTCACTCACTCACTCACTCACTCACTCACTCACTCACTCACTCACCCATTCATTACTCCTCCCCAACCTCCTTATTTATTCACTCACCCAATCATTCCATCACTTGATAGCTCGGTTACGCGCCAAGCATAGAGCCAGATCCGAACCTTCGCTCTTTCGGAAAAAGCTTCCCCACAAGAAGAATATCAGTGAGTCATGCATGCAAAGTACAGGCCAGATTTCATTTCTTGAGTTTGGATTTTAAAAACGTACATTCTGTAATTTCATTTTTAATTATCTTTTTTTTAAAATAGAAGGACGGGGTATTGTTTACGTATTTTTATTTCACTGAACGGTTTATTGGGCTTTTTTTTACGTTATCTGTTTTCCTTTTCTTTGACATTTAAAGTGATTGTAGCTTGTTTTATTTGTATCTCGTTTTTATTTTTATCTGTTCAAACTAACAGGCAAACTCATATCCTACACCATGTTAAAATCTGTTGTGATAATTGATGTCGTTTATGTCGTTTCTATTGCAATACTTTTTTTTTCTCTATCTAACGTATTTCTCTTTTCTCAAAGCTGTTTCTCTGGATATGAATTCTTTTCTCCTTTCCCAAACTTCAGCATTCCCCAAATCCCCACACCATTTCTCTACCCTTCCCCCTACCCTATTCTCCCACTCCCCAATCCCCCCTATCTCTCTTCCTCTCTCTGTCTCTCTGTCTGTCTCTCTCTCTCTCTCTCACTCTCTCTCTGCCCCCCCCTCTCTCTCTCTGTCTCGATCTCTCTGACTCTCTCTCTCTCTCTCTCTCTCTCTCTCTCTCTCTCTCTCTCTCTCTCTCTCTCTCTCTCTGTCAGTCTCTAGTTCTATCTCACTCACCCTCTTTCTTTCTCTGTTCTTTCTGTATCTACAATCTCCGTCTCTTCCTTCGTTTTCCTTGTCGAATACTTTTGTGTCTTTTGTTAACATCTGGACAAAAGTGTTCAGGCTTGTCTTTTACACACATACACTCTCTCTCTCTCTCTCTCTCTCTCTCACACACACACACACACACACACACACACACACACACACACACACACACACACACATACACACACACACACGCACACACACATACATACACACACACCATGTCAACTACAGTACTCTTAAGCAGTTCTGCGAAAAATATCCAATCACCAGTTTACCCAAAACTATGATCTCTCGTGGAAATACACCTTTCATTTCTCATGGTGCGTGGGTCAGTGCATTTCCTCTGTGTAGCTTCGTATTCTCAAATAGATTAAATAGATTTATTCTGAAATTTCAGTAAAAGAAATTAATTACAATTATTTGCCATTTATATTTCTAACTGACATTTTGGATGAATGGGAAGACATTTTGTACCAAACTGTGTGTCTTCATTTTCGAATAAGTTTGTATCTTTGGTTAACATTGGGCGAGGGTGATTGGGCTTTTGTTTTACATCTCTCGTGTATGACGAGGAAAAAGGAGAGGAGAGCGGAGAAGTATTTCTCTCTATCCTCTGTTTCTCAGTTTGTCTGTCTGCCTGTCTACGATTTTTGTTGAGTATTTTGTTGTGGAAAGTAGAAAAGGCACCTAATTTGTTCCAAACCACCTAAACACAATAAGCACTTTCAAACCTAAGTTTCTACTACCATGCCGTGTTGACATCTATTTTTCACCTAAAATTCTCACTTTTTCAAGCTTTACATCCATCGTTCCTATCTACTCTGCATTCAATTTTGCTAATCATTTATATACCTACATGTGCATTTATTCATTTCATGATTGTTATGTCGATATGTTTACCTTTGTTATTTTCATAACTGATAATAAGAAGAAATGTTCGAAGCGAGCATGCACTGATTAACATCAGTCTCATAGTTCTATGGAAGATGAAGCACAATAAACACGCTCACGCGCACGCACACACACATAAACACACACGCAAGCACACACGCACACTCACACACGCAAGCACACACACACACACACGCACACACACACACGCACACGCACACATACACACGCACACATACACACACGCACACACAAGCACATATTCAAGCACCCCAGCACGCACGCACGCACGTTCACACAGTGTACCTTTTAGTCAGTAACTCAGCTCACTCTGAAACTCTTAATTAAATCAAGCACCGAAGGTTGGAGGATGCGTCGTGCTTTGATTCTTTCTCTCGGTTATTTGTGTCTGCCAGTTTGACTTATTCTCTGCACGAAATGACCTTCATAGTCTTGATTTGCGCCTCTTTTACTCAAATAAACAAACAGACATGCACACACACACACACACACACACACACACACACACACACACACACACACACACACATCTCTGGGTGGTCGGTAGGTGCTCTGGTGCGGTTTGCTCCTTCTTACCATCAAATATCTATCGTCCTTATCTATCCTCCGTCGGTTTTTTTTTGTTTGTGTGTGTGTGTGTGTGTGTGTGTATGTTACTGTCTTGTCACTTCCGCACTTATATGACAAAATTAATTGTGTTACAAGTGCCGTAAAACTCTTATGAAAGACTAAAGTAATGTGTTCATTCTCTCGAAGACAAATCTAACGC